CATTTCCTTTCACCATGCCATCATCCTTGGCTTGATTGGGTGGTTCATCTTCCCCAAGAACCCAGGTCTTGATCGGTTGACACCAAAGTGATGAACAAGGGCATATATTTTCTTCCTCTCCCTTTTTTATTTCCCTTATGTCATTTCATTTTCCTTCATCCTAAATGTACTCAAGGGTGGCAAAATAAGTGCACATTTCCAAGGACAAAAGTTCTTGCAGGCTCAGATCAGATTCTGGGGCCTCCCCCAAATGTCAGATTCATCTTCTTTTGGCCTCTCATTGCCTTAAAGTTAACTTCATTTCTGTTGATTGGTTCTAGGATTATTCCCAGGAAGAGCTGAGCAGTGTTCCTCTTGTGGACAAATTTCATTTTGACAAAGTCACTGTTTCTTTTCAAAGGTGAGTTTCCAGATTTGCATTTGTTTTAGAAATTTGAATAGGTTAGGTCTGAAGGCGTAAGTTAGGGAAAACCAGAGAGTTTCCTCCTACTGGACCTTTGAAATAGTTCCCCTGCACTCCTGACACATCCTTCCTTGGAAATGTTCATGCCATCAGTAATAAGAAAAAGAAATACTCCCTTGTATGCAGCAAGCTTTGCATTTTGTGTGCCTTTTGAGCATCAGAGCAAACACTGATATTGGTCATTTTCTTGCTCTGATTTTGCAGGAGAGAGAGCTGAGATGGAGTAAGGTCACATGAGTTGGCACTCTTGACTTGACTGGTAAGTGGATGAGTTGAGATATGAAGTCCAGGGCTTCTTGACCCTGCAGGTCAGGGTGTGGCCTCTTAATGATTTGGGCCTCTGCTGGTCAGCCATTCATTTCTTCCCCATTCCCTACCATTACATATGTATTCATTCTTGCCATCCCTGACTCCCCTAAAAAGTCAGTGTTCACATAATTAGAACTACAGAATTTTTCAGGCCCTTTTACTTAACAGACTCTTAACCAACAAATGAGGAGAATGATGCTTTCTGGCTTTGCTAAGGCCTAATTCAATGACTATGAGTGATAAGCGCATTAGACTCTCTGCTTGGGAGACCCCAGATGCAGGCCACAAGAAAGAGCCATTCCTCCCCATTAACAGGCTCTGTTAAGGGAAGCTTTGTTGGGTGTGGTATCAGCCAGTCTATAGCTTTTGTATTTCCTGCTGTACCTCAAGTGTTAGATCATCTACTACCTGTTATCTCGTATCTACTTAACAATTAGGGTGGGGCAGAGATGCAGTGCCCCATACCCTTTTGCTGATTTGGACATATTGTCTCTCATTATAAAAGTTATCTATAAAAACTGGCTCTATCACTCGTGATCAGCCTGTCAATGTATTGCTAACTGATGTACTTTTAATAAACTCTTTTTAATTGTCTTTTTCCTGAATTTTACTTCCTTAATCAGGGCAAAAACCCAAACAAAGAGTTTTTCTTTTAAGAAATGGAGAACCACCTGGAATTTTTGAGGGTTTTCACTTCTGGCTATAATTGTGGATGGGCCTACTCCACTCCTGGAACCAGCATTCTGCCTGATAGCTGGCCTACCCCAGCAATTAGTTAAGCTGTGAAGTGGCAGAGAATTTAGGTCCACAAAACCCAGGACAGAAAAAGGAGAAATAGGTTCCCAAATCCAATTTTTTTTCCCTTTGTGCAGGAAGAAGTGAAGGCAAAACAAAAGGCAAAAGGATCACCAGGAAGAGGCAGGTAAGTAAATGGCCTTGTCTGCATTTGCATGGGAATATCAGTACTCCTAAAAGGAGTGGAAGGAGTGAGCCTTCAGGGGACTCCACAGTAGACAAGTTGTAAAAGCTTGGGAAACATCCTGCCTGATAGGTCCACAACTGAGCAATAAAGATAAGTAAGGGCTTGGGAAGTTATGGGGGGTAGGGGGAAGGAAAAAAAAAACAGCAATATATTTTGACCTGATAAAAGATAGGACCTTAGGTATTAAACTTGGTCAGATGCTCATTCTAAATATGATTTGAAGATCTCTAGGCTAGGCAAACCAGAAATTTTCAATGCTTTTAAAAGAGATTTAAAACAACAATTGGGGTAGGTGACTAGATACTAAAAATACCTTTTGGGAAGGCTAAAGTAGAATTTTTAAGTCTTTTAAACGTAAAACATAAAAAGGGGAACCTCACAATTTCTTACTGTGGCCAAAGAGAAAGGGACGAAGAGAAAAATCAGTAAAGTGAATATTACTTGTATAGATAGTCTGGGATATAATTTGTAATCAAAGTGTCTGATCAGATGATGAAAGAAACAAGACAGATACAGTTGTGAAGGGCTTTAAGCTAAACTTGAAAGAAACAAGGAGATAAAGTTTAATGAAGTTAGGGATAAGAGGAAATGGGTGGGAAGTTAAGAAAAGTTTTAGTTTCTTTTGCACTGATAGTATGAATAGAGGGCTTGAAAGTAAAGGGTTGTGGAAAATTGGAAATAGAAGTGAAGAAGGGTTTAATCTCATTCAGAGAAGAAGGATATGAAAAATTTTATTTGGTTATTCTTCATGATACAGAAAATATAGAAATACATTTACAGCATTTAATCACTTCAGATAGCAAACCATTATCGGGATCTTTTTTAGTCCTTATGTGAGAAATGTGCATTTATGATTTCATTACTGCATAACAGAGTTATGTTTGGAATTTCTGTGTTTCAGAAAAGTTTCATGGATCCTAAGAGAGAGGTGAAAATACAAGACTGTCACTTTAAATCTTTGGCAGTAGACCAACTGAAAGTAACTGGTGCTATAATTTGAAGGGCTAGCAGTAAATAGCTCTTAGAAAAATTGAAATTTATACTTTACCATTAGTGATTATAAATCCAGATTTGATTTGGTCCTGAAACTAAATCATCCTGTGGTCTCATTTGTAGTGAAATCTGTTCCCCTATCAGGATAATTGTGGTAAATCAGAACTTAATGTAAAAATGCATTTATTATTTGGCATTAAGGAAGAAGAAAAAAAATGCTAGAAAATGCATGAATCAGGAAAACCTGAGTCAAAAAAATCCAGTCTCAGCAAGTAATTCAGTCTCAGAAATGTATTGACTATGTGACTTCACTTCTGTTTACCTCAGTTTCCCCATCTATAAAGGGGGAAATGAAATAATAGTACCCACCTCTCAGGGTTGTTGTAAGGATCATATGATTGTAAAGTGCTTAACACAGTGCCTGGTATATGGCAAGCACTATATAAATGTTAACTATTGTTAATATTATTATTTCTTTAATTATATGCAGTTGCTGTCTACTTGATAACTTTATATCAGGTTTTAGATATGATCAGTGTAAAATGCCAGAAGTGATAAAATAAAGGAATTTCTATGTAAAAGGATTCAGAGATGCATTTAGATAAATTTATGTTAGTTGGCATTTAGTTAAATGTACCACCAAATTCTGTTATGTTTTAAGGATCCATAATAGTATTTATGTTGTTATTATGTTTTTAAATTTACTTTTATTGTGGATGCTGAGAAACCATTGTATGAGAATACTGAAAATTTCTTTTGATCTGGTTACTGTGAAATTATTAAGTTATTAGTGGTTATTGTCATAATGTAAAAATGTATCAAGTATTTAATTGACTATATTTGGAAAGGGAAAATTGTTAATTACTTACTGTATGGGAAAAGGTACAAAGAAAAGACCTTGTAAAATCTTTTTATTTGTAAACTTCCAAGATTTTTTGTGATTGTCTGCTTAGGCTACCTAATAAAATCTTATCAGCCCCATGAAAGATCTTGCTAGTGTTGTGAAATTCTTAAACAATGAACTGTTTTCTGAGAAAATGGGATCCCTTCTTCCACTCCTTGCAAAAATGGGAGAGAAATTCTCAAGCCTGCTTATAAGAAAGAGTGAGTTTCATCTAAATTTATTTGCCTATTACTTGTGAAGATTATGGAATTATATCTTGAATGGTACATAGTGAAGTTACATCTTTATCTAACTTGATCTCAACAAACTCTAATCTTAAAGATTTATTTTTGCCTTAAGGGGTGAATATATAATACCTTAAGGGGTGGATATCTATTAGTCTTGAGGTTGACAGTGATTGACCAGTGTTTTTCTGGGGTTTTGAATAAACATTCATATATTCACTGTCTCTCTGAAATTCCAGAATGTATTTTTTTTTATTTCTAAGAATTGATTTTTACACCTGGATGAGTTTAAACTCAAGGAGGAGAAGAAAGAGAAAAAGAAGGGAAGGATATTGAGTAAACTTTTAAAGGCCTGGTAAATTTTTTATTATTGCAACACTATGAGAGCAATAATAACAGCTGTATCTAGCTGTGATTAATGAAATTTGCTATTTGAAGTAAAATCTCATGGGACTGTAATCTGATATTATCCTAAGTTTGGATTTCTGGTATGATTATCTGCATTGTCATGAGGCTAATAGTTCATCATTCAAGGAAGATGCCATGTGCTACCCAAAGGGAGTGCAATCTGGGAACTGCTGTTAATGGATATCTTGGCCTGAGAAAGGTTGAGAGAATGACCTCGGCATGGTCAAAGGGAGGATTCCATTGACTCAGTTTCCCCTTGGTGCTATTCCTTTTTTAATAGGTTTTGTTTCCCACCTGGATAATCCTGAGCCTGACTGGTTATGATGCCCTGTGTATAAGGGGGAACTTTGTTGCATAATTGGCTATTCTTAAAATCTAACTCTATCTTACTTGAAATCAAAAACAGCTAAGAATGCTTCATCCTGATACTCCTTTCTGGAGTCATTCTGTGACCTTAAGCTTAGGCCTGGAGGACTAGTTTTAATGCTGTTATACCTATGTCCCTCCTTCCTCTTATAGCAAATGTCTTATCAGAATAGGTGAACAGTGGAAGTTTGTCATTGCAATACTAAATGAGTATGTTTTAAACAAATTCATTTGTTTAACTTCTTGACCCTAAAGTTGATAAGTATCTATGTACAATGAATACTGGTAGCTATGTCTTCATGTATAGGATAAGATCCTTAAAATATCTTCTCCTGCTATAGGGGAATTACCAGGCATGGAAAATTTTGAGAAAGCAACGAGCTCAGACAATTATATATACAGGCCTTAAACATGTTATAATAATGTTGTAAAAATTGGGTTCAGGACCTTACATATAAAATTGCATTGATAATTGTAAAGAAGAAAGAACAAGTAGTATGTAATAACTGATAGTTTCTGAAGTTTCAGGTGAATTATGGGTTCCTAATTAGATGTTCTCATAGCTCCATTGTTAATAAGACCAGAATCATAAGACTTGAGCAGTTGTTTTTTTTTTTTACTCAATGAATTGGTTATTGGAAAAAACACATTTAAGACGTTATACTAAATTGTACTGAGCTTGGTTACTGACAGATTTGAATAGAATTACCTAGGAATCTCCACAAGTGCCTTGGAACCAGGGAAGCAAGCCCACTGGAAAGAAGCCACTTCAGAGCTGCTCTGGGAGTGAGGCCTATTCCTGAATGTCCAAGGGAAGATGTTGCCAGGGATCAAACAACTTCATGGGACATCTGGGACTCAGGATGAAATGTGCTCATTAATTGAACATTGGAAGTGGGTTACAAGGAGAATTGATGTTATTTAATATTGATTATCACTATTGTGTTACTTTGGTCTTTTGTTTCATGGCATTTATATTTACTAAATTTTCTTGGTGTCCTTGTTGATATATAAATCTCCCCTCTAAAATTAGTACATGGTGAGCCCTCTAAATGGCTTGTAAACTGCCCTAGTTTACATATAGAGCTTATTTAACATGGTTTGTCTCCTTGGGGGATACATGAGATTATGATTCTGTACCTAAGTTTATTTGACTTTATAACATTGATGGAAATGTGGGATTATGATTTGTGAAGCTCATGGCCACAGTACATTTGTTTCCTGTTGTAAGTTTAACTCCTGTAGCTCACAGCCACTGACGCTTGTTCAAATTGATTAGCCATGAGCAGCAGAGAGCAGGATGGTGCAATTGAGGATAAAGGAGTGAGATGAAGCCAGTTGTACTGCTGCATCCTATATATGGTTAGTACCAAATGGGGGAATTATAGAAAGTTATGCTGACTCAATGATCCATTGTTCCCAATCCTGCTTGTGAAACACTGTTGGGGGAGGCATCACTCCCAACAACTGCAGTTTTTGTATTATTACCTGTTATCACTCACATATCAGGTCATCTACTACCTAAAGAGCTGAGATGCAATGTCCTATCCAATTTTGCTAATGTGGACCTATCTGAAATGTCTTTATTTTGTTATGAAAGTTGTAAATAAATGCTAGCTCCATCTTGGCATTGATGTATTAGTGATCAGCTAGTCAACATGTTAGATACACTTTTAATAAATTCCTTTTAATTCTATTTTTCCTGAGTTTTTCCTCATTAATTAGGGTGAAAGCCCAAAGAATTTTCCTTTGAATAGGACACTATCTTCTCTGTCACCTGCAGGAATTGGTATTGTTCTGAGTGTGTGTCAAATTGGGAAAGGAAAATCTTCAGGGCAAGCTCTACAAGGCATTGACAGAAACTGCCTAGAGGGGAGAGCCCAAACTGTATACTTTAAACATTTTCGTTACATGAAGAATATGGAGAATAGAGAGAGACTATTATAGTGTTCATGAACCAGAAAATGAAGGGTTAGAAGAGAGAGAGAATGAATAAGAGAGAGAAATCTTCTCTTAAGGGGTGCAAAATAATGAATTAAAAAAATAATGAAGAGGTCTAGTTGAAGGGGAAGAGATGAAAGGGAAATTGACTTGACTAAGGGGGGGGGGAAGAAGGGAAGAATTAAATAGATAAAACTAGGAAAGAAAATTGAATTTATAATTTAAAAAGAGAATATGGTAACAAATGGTTGATGGGTGAGGAGAAGATTGCCAGTGGAAGCAGAGCCACTTTAAAAAAGATTAAGCTAAAGTAACTGAAGAGACATAGGACTGTGTTCTCAGCAGAAGAGAGGGAAAAAAAATCTCAATAAAAAAAGATCAGAGGCAAATGGAAAAAAAAATAAACCTTACTTTTAGAACTTTGAATGTGAATGGATTAAATAAATAAAACAGGAGCAGGGGAGAGATTGAATAAGAAAACAAATTTCTACAATCTATGGCTTACAAGAAACATATTTAAAAAACAAAGACATGCACAAAATAAAACTGATGAGATGGGGAGAAATTTACTATGCATCAAGTTAAATCTAAAAAGCAGAAGTAGCAATCATGACATCTGACAAAGCTAAAAACAGTTTCAAAATTTAAAAAGGATAAATAAGAACACTATATTATGCTGAAAGGAACCATAGACAAAATAATATCAGTAATAAAATTATATGCTTCAGACACCTTAGCATATAAATTCACAAAGCAAATATTAACTGAACTACAAGATGACATAACACAATAGGGACAGGAGACTTCAATATCCTTCTCAGTTATGGATAAACTTAACAGAAAGTAAACAAAATGTAAAATATAGAACTGAATCAATTGCTGGAGAATTTAAAACTAAAGAACTTACGATATTTTCTACATGGAAACACAAAAATTACACGTAGATCTCAGTACCTCATAGTCCTTCTAGAAAAACTGACCATGAATTTGGGCACAGAAATATTGGAAAGAAATGTAACAAGGCAGAAATAGTAAATATATCCTTTATAGAATTTGTTTAATGCAATAAAAACAGTCATTGGGTCAGGGACCACAAACAAAAGACAGAGACCTAAATGAAGCGAATAGTGAAATCCCAGATAATGAGTTGGTCAAAGAACAAATAGAAACAATTAACTATATGAAAGAAAATGTTCTGAGTTAACATCTGCTTGAGCCTCCCATCTCCATGGCAACACTGTAAGGCTAGGGAACCCAGGAGGAAGGATTGTACTTTGATGATGGCCTCCCTTCTCAAGTTCATAACTGAGGAATAAATTAGGTATTGCAAATAGTAATTGTTTCAATTATTTACTGACATCCCTTTGAATAATTCTTTGTGCGTGTGTGTGTGTTTCTGTCTATATGTCTCTTTTTCTTTATCTCTGTCAAAGCAAAGCAGAAGTATAAAAACAATCACTGATTTTAAGGAGCTTAAAATATAATAGTGGAGACAGAATGTAATTAAATAAGTATATACATGATACATAGGAAACAGAA